ACACCTGATCAACCTGAAAAGCATTGCTTATTTTATTTGTATCTTTGTTCTATTGTATTTATTTGACAACTGACCATATGCACGTAAAGTTCATAAGTAAGCCAGCCGGAATACTAATATAAGCCAGCCAGAAAACTTCTGGTGAAATGTCACTTGTTGGTGTGTTGGTATCTTCAATGTTCTGAGGTAGCTTTAATAGCATCAATAGTGTAATACTTAGTTTATAAGCAGAATATAGTCACTTAAATAGTCAGACCATTAATTTATTTTAAAGGTGCTCTCTGTAGCTTTTCTTCTAAAATGAATCCTTTTTTATTGCCTGTGTGTGAAGGAGTTGTAATCACACATTACAATGATCCACTTGTCGGGTTTTGCTATTACCTCTGAAGGCCAATATTCATATTTCTATGTGAAGTCTCCGGGTCGGATTTACCATGAAATCCATCGGATGTGACGTGCTTGCGCGCTCCCGAGCCTCTCTCCTTATATACAGTCTATGTGACGGCACTTCAGCTAACAACATGGAGTCTGATAACACCAAACACTCCTGCCTCCAGCACAACACAGACTCCAACACAAACTCCACAAAAATATAAAAAAACAAAAAAAGTTTTATCTGCTGAAGCTCATCAGGCCAAACGTGATTCTGATCGACTCAGGACGAAAACACAGATCAACATCGGCAGAGCTTTTGAATTAGTAAACTGTAATGAAATAGCAAGGTAAACTACATGAGACATGAAATGAATACAAAAGACTGTTCCAGGATAACAAAAAGTAGGTGCTTTAGGATGTAACTTTTATTTTATGTACTAGATACTGTCTAACGTCACTCATCCCACTACTATCATATTGTTTATAATACACATTTCCAGACACGTTCAGTTCAGTAATGTTACTTCCTACGATCTTACTGTTACACTGAAATTGTTCAGTCTAGTTCACCGTTTTCGTTATCATATTATACATTCACCTATGTTGGCATTGCTAATTGTGAAAGATACACGAATAGTTAGTGAAATGCCTTGTTATGCTAGATAACACCACATGTCGGCTAAATGCAGTCAATGTAGCGTTATCATTGTACGAGCATGGAGCATTAGTTCAACGTCAAGCTGATAAAAGTAGCCTATTATTGTAACGTTGCAGTGGGAGTTTACATGAGTTTCCAGCATGTTGTGTGATGCTTTCGCCGTTGCGTTGAAAGTCTCCGTGTGGCCGGTAGTGAATGCTCGCTCTTGAGATCGCACACGAGCGCTCTTGTTGCAATCTGAAACATCACCGCTAGAGGCCGCTAAAAAATACATACAGCACCTTTAATAACTAATTTAATTTAGTTATTGAAATGAATAAAAAGCCTAAATTCTCCTATGTTTTACTCAGCGTAGCACATACCGAACTGTACCGAAACTGTGACCCTAAAACGGTAATAAAAACCAGAACCGTGAATAATCTGAACCATTACACCCCTACTGTACACAACGATTACTGTAAGGACATTTAAAATACATACCTCTTGTGAATTTCTGCTTTTTGTTTGCATTCCTTTTCTTGGTTTTATCCTTGTTTTTGCTGGATTTACGGGGTGCAGGGGATGAAGAGGATTGAGATGAGGATGAGGTTGAAGATACACAGGAGGACGAGGAGTCAACTTTGCAATGTTTTTTTTTCCTCAGCGCTTTTCCTCTTCTCTTTGCCTTTTTTCCCCTTTCTGTATGAAGGTCATCCTCCGTACTGGAAGACTGTGATACAGCATCATCCAATTTGGATTTGCAGGTAGCTCCCATCATGTCTTCCTTTGCTGACAAGGCTGATAAGGAATACATCATATTAAGATTACATTTAATTTCTTCCACCTTTACCAGCTTTGATTGCATTGTTAAATGTAAATATTCTGCTACCTTTGTTAACGAAAACCACAAGATCTAACTTTAAAACAACAACAAGAACAGAAAGGCCTCAGACTACAGTACACTGTACCCTTTTATGCCAGGATATGTTATAATGTAGACTCGGTAAGCTTTCCACAGTTAAAAGTTAATTAATATCACTTTTTAAACACTTGTATGAGATGAAGATTCTTCATGCCAGTGGGTTGACATGTTAAGCTATTCTTAATGTGCAAAAGGCGAAAGTGTTATTACCATATAATGCTGTACAGTATCAATTATTAGCAGACACATTTATTCAAAGCAAATTAAAAATTAGGAACATCAAACAATTTCTGATAAGAGCCAACAGAATTTAGTACACATTACTAAATACAACTTATAACAGGTTGTAAGGTATAGTTGCTTTTAGAGATTCAGCAATTTACCATTGGTCAGACTGCTACGTAGGAAATCTCTCTCACATTCGATATCCTTGCACTTATCCTCAAGGAACTTGATTTTAGCTTTTAATAAAGCATTTTCTTCCTTCATTTTTTGTAGGGACACCTGCTGAGTTGGTGCTGTTGGTGCTGTTGCTGATGCTCCTGATGGAATATATAATAATACAAAACACTGTAAACACTGTTGCACTTTAACACTCTATCTAAATAGCTATATTATATCTATATTAGTCTTGTGAGTAAACTAGAACATTTACTAGCCAATGGCGATGCTAATGCCAAGGTGTGAGATAATGCATGATGCATAATTAATTAATTAAGTCAAGAATATGGTAATACAGTAATGACTCAAGTGTTTAGAAGGAATTACAGGAAACGTATTTTTGTTAAATAACACAGAAACATATTTAATTGAAGAATATGAAAGCTTTGATTAAGGAGATCCCATTAATGTAGTAACAATAAATATTAGGGGTTAAAAGCTGTCCCGTCACACCCCCTAATATTCATGATTAATATCATATTTTTAAATATGATGGTTTCATTATAAATATGGTGATTATCTCTATGATGGACACCCAACTTAAATTAGGCCTATATTAAACATCTGAATCTAGACATGCCAACAAATGGAAATTAGCCTAATTTTTAATTAACTTCAAAATATTAACAAGCCTTTGACTCAAAATATCAAATTTTCACCTGCATCGTGAAACACAGATGCTGCAGCAGCATGGTTTTTCGGTTTAAAGGAGAATAAAATCAAATGTGCAATTCAGACCTTTCCTTGATTTCAAACATTTCATTAACAGTTAGGCCTACCTTCATTACTTAAATAACGAATTTGTATATTGCTGAATGAAATATTGACCCAGTTTTACTAATAAACTTTAAATTGCCTCGCCAATCACTAACTTATTTGACCGAGCTTGTCAACGAGCATTTGCTAATTAGGCCTAGGCTAACTGTTACTACACACATGCTGCTAATCGTATGTATAGAACTTAAAATACATAACTTACCGGCAGTATCATCATCATTTTCCTCTACTAGGCGATTGGGTGGTACCCTTTTACGCGGAATTCTTCGATCAGCCATGTCTACTCCTGCTGAACTTTCTGCCGAATCAGGTCGCCGTTGATCCAACGTCTTGTAAAAGCAATTTCCGTCCCTACAGACGAACTCGACCGCCGTAAGTGATTCTTCCCCTTCAGTTATGTTGTCCCAATATGTTATAAAATTAATCACTGGCCTTACACCACTCATTCTCAAATCATTTAACATTTTAGTTATATTTTTAGATTTTCCCTTATTTTTATTACCAGTTATAAAATCCATCTTTATGTTTTTGCTTAAACAAGACACTCGATTGTGGTTGGTTATCTAGTAGGTAGTCTCGCGTAGCCAGACCTTCAGACTGACGGCTGAAGGTCTGGAATTCATAGCAGCTTTCTTTGGCCAAGGCCCGCCCATAAGGCCGTTTGACCGACATGTCAAACAACCAATTACAGTTCGTTTCGTTCAGCGTCACGTTTCGGGGCGTGGAAATGTCCCCACAACAACAGACCAGCGTGCAACAAGTCAGTCAGCATAGAAAATCAAAGAAGGAGAAGAAAACTTCAAGAGTCTATGCCGTGAACCTCGCATACTTTTGTGAATCCTACGTTTAGCTGATCTTGATAAATGCTCATTGTCACTCATGTAAACACAACAGTTTTTCTTCCGCAATCACACGTCTGCGCTTTGTTTCCCGGCGGACCGAAAATAAACGCGACACTCGCGCCCCCCGGAAATCCGATAAAATTCAACCAATCAGACGACGACTTCGACATTCCTGAAGTGTTTCCAGTTAAGTGTACCATATGCATCAGACGTTTAGCCAACGTTCCGTGGGCGTGACGTCTGAGGCTGAGACTATCTAGTAGGTTAAGCACATCCGGTCAAATTTGAATTACATATGTATTTACTTATTAAGAACTAATTCAATATTTTTCAGTTCAATTATTTAATATGCTTCCTGACCGTTTTAAGATGAAAAAAAAAAACGTTTGTAACAATAAGTGTACATTTTACGACAGATGACATACAACAGATTTTTTTTCACGGACAATCACGTGGGAAAATGCGCCTTCGCGGTTACATCGTTATGTATAAGGACTGAGAGTTGGCTAGCTATAGTCCAACAATGGGACTTTCGAGAAAGATTTTATCGCTCTGTCAGCACAAGGACATAAAAGGAAACAGAAAATTAACTAAATGGCTTCAAAAAAACAAGCTAATGGATTCTACAAAGAAATGCAGAGTATGTAAAAGAAATATGAAATTGAGGAAGACACACAACAAAGATGGATACCTATGGTAAATATAGATCCTTTTTTGTCAGGTTGGTAGCCTAATTTAAATCTAAAAGCTAAGTGTTACTGTACTTTTGTATTTTAAGGGTATGTAAACGAGGAGTACACAATGAAAAAGTGACAAAATCATGCAGATCAGGATACATTTTTGACAAGACCAAGTTGAGTTTACAAAATTGGATGACTTATATATATCGGTAGGTGTAACAACATGCTAAATAACCTATTTTTGCCTTTTAAAGTTAAAACATTAATCTCTTTTTTTTGCACACAAATATTTAACTTTTGCTGACAGATTCTGTCAAGGATTACGTTTACGGCAGGTCGACATGGTCCAGGATGGCATTGCTGGAAGCTCCGCCACCCTTACTAAAATGACCTGTAAACTGAGATTAGTCTGCAGGAAAGCCTTGAAGAAGTTCAAAAGGAAGACAGGACAACACATAGGGGGAAGAACGGAATTTGTAATGATAGATGAAAGCAACTTCCGCCATAAAAGGAAGGTGGGATATCCTTTTAATTATTTTTTAAAGTGAAAACAAATAAAGGTCGAACAACTTATATATATATATATATATATATATATATATATATATATATATACTATATATATATATATATATATATACTGTATATACATATATATATATATATATATATGTATGTGTGTGTGTGTGTATGTATATATATTTCAGCTTTGATCACAGGAATAAATCATTTTTAATTGTAAAAATATGTATATGGTGGACAAAATTATTAGAACGGTGAGATTTTTTAATGTTTTAAAATTATTATTTTCTGCTCAGCAAGGCATTTTGATCCATTTTGATATTTGATCCAAAATACAGCAACAACAGTTATATTGTGACATATTTTTACAATTAAAAATGATTTATTCCTGTGATCAAAGCTGAATTTTCAGCATCATTACTCCAGTCTTCAGTGTCACATGATCCTTCAGAAATCAGTATAATATGATGATTTGATGATCAAGAAACATTTCAGATTGTTATCAGTGTTGAAAACAATTGTGTAAAAAAAAAAAAAAAAAAAAAAAAAAAATCATGATTATTTGATGAATAGAAGACCGTTCAAAAGAACAGTATTTATCTGAAATAGAAAGCTTTTGTAACATTATCACTACCGTTCAAAAAATTTTGGTCAGTTCGAAAATATAAACATTTTTTTATTTTTTGGGGGAAAGAAATTAAAGAAATTAATACTTTTATTCAGCAAGGATTGATCAAAATTTATCAAAAGTGACCGTAAAGACATTTACAATGTTGCAAAAGATGTATATTTCAGATAAATGGTATTCTTTTGAACTTTCTATTCATAATAATCCTGAAAAAAAACTGTTTTCAACATTGATAATCACATCATCATATTATACTGATTTCTGAAGCATCATGTGACACTGAAAACTGGAGTATGCTGAAAATTCAGCTTTGCCATCACAGAAATACAACCCAAATTCCGGAAAAGTTGGGACGTTTTTTAAATTTGAATAAAATGAAAACTATAAGATTCGTTGTAATGACCATATGACAGCTTAAAATGTTATCTTATCTCACAACTGGGATTTAAACGAGGCCTGTGTATTCTAAACGGCTAAATAACAGATTGGAGATTTAAATGATAGCAGATTTGTCTCATTTTAGATAAACACTAAAAACTGAGAAGAAAACCATAGTTGGTTAATGATGCTTTTGGTAAACAAACCGAACTGTAGAGCCACAAATAGAGAAAAAAGGCATAAACATTAGTTAACTACATTGGTTGACATAGACTAATACTTCTAGGGATGTGCGAGATTATTGGAAATACTAGTCATTTACTTGTTTTTTGCACTTTTACCCCTGATTTCACAGACAAGGCTTAATCCTAGTTCTACTAAAATGCATGTTTGAGCTGTTTTAACTGAAAGCAACTTGCACTGGCATATCTTAATATATGTCAATGCCATTGATTTGATGTGAAATTATTGAAGTTGTTTTTTAAATTGTAGTATCGACAAGGAAGAGCTGGTCAGACATGGAGGAGAAAGAAGTGGGTCTTTGGCATGCTTGCCATAAAGGGTCAAAGAAGACTGCCAATTTTGCGACTTGTAGAACGGCGCTCCAGAAATCACCTGCTTCCCATCATTAGAAGACATGTTCGCCAAGGGTCAACCATTTTAAGCGACGAGTGGAGACCCTACAGAGCTCTATCAAGTCTTGGTTACACTCACTACTCAGTAAACCACAGCAGATGGTTTGTTGATCCAAACCATGGTGGACACACACAAAATATTGAAAGAGCTTGGTTAACCTACAAAAGCCAAATTTGGCGACTGAGAGGAAATAGGACAGAGCAGCTTCTAAAAGAACATTTGTCTTTTATTGAGTGGACTTACTGGCTGGGATACAAGCACACAGATGGTCCTCTAGGTCGACTTCTGAAAGACATTGGAAGGCATTACAGCAAATAAATACTGTATGCTAGAAGGCAATAAATTGTTTTTTCCACTTCAGGCATCACATGGTTTTATGCTTATGTGAAGCTGTTACTTTAAATGGAAATAGTAGAAAAAGCATAAATGTTAATAAAAGTTACTTGTTTCATGCCTCATGTTTAAAGCAATTTTTCATGATTTGTGCAACCAAACACAAAAGTCATTTCAAGCGTTTGAGATTTTTGGTGAACTTTTAAATAGTATACTTTTAGAAAATTTCTTTATAAGTATGTAGTAACACTTGAGTCATTACTAGTTAGTTCCAATGATCTTCACTTTAGAATACGGATCCAAATAATTAGTAATTCCCATAGAAGTATGTAGTAACACTTGAGTCATTACTAGTTAGTTCCCATGATTCTTACAGTAGTTACTAATGAAAAGCCAATAAAGTGTAGAATCTTCTAATCACTCATACAAGATATGCAAACACACATATATGAGCTAGGAGACATACATAAAAACATTTTTTGAGTGGTATGTTAAATAATAAAATCACTGTATGGTATTCGGATGGCTGATAACTCAATATGTTCCAGTCGCCGTGACTAGTGATTCAATGCCAGTCCAGAGGAATGCCGGAAAATTGGCCACAGGACAAGTAAGGTCGCGACAACTGCATTTAAAAATCCATTTCTTTAAAAATTATTCAGTTGATAAATAGACAGCATAGGCCAATTATTAACAGCTTTCCCAAATCATAAGTCTGCTATGCTATTACATATTGATAATGTAAACAACCTTGTGTATTCGTTTACAGTAGCAGTTAAAATGTTAATGTAGTGCTAGTCATTTGTCATGCATTGGTTATTGATTAGTTTTGCAAGAATTATTAAACTTTTTCAGTAGTTCTCTGGGAAGCATTTTTTAGTTATTGATTAGTTAATAGCGAACTACCACTTTCATCTGTGCGCTATTACTTACTAATTCGTTAATCATATTTTATTTTTAGTTAATATAGTTACTAGATTGTTAATAAAAAATTTCAGTAGTTCTCTGGGAAGCATTACAAAAATAGTAGTTATTGATTAGTTAATAGTGAACTACCACTCTCATCTGTGCGCTATTACTTACTAGTTCGTTAATCAGAGTTTCTTGTTAGTTAATAATAGTTAATAGATTGTTAATAAAAAAATTCAGTAGTTCTCTGGGAAGCATTAAAAAAATAGTAGTTATTGATTAGTTAATAGTGAACTACCACTTTCATCTGTGCGCTATTACTTACTAATTCGTTAATCAGAGTTTCTTGTTAGTTAATAGTAGTTACTAGATTGTTAATATTGTGTTACTCATTGGTTCTTGTGTAGTTATTCATTAACGAAGGAACCGTATTCTAAAGTGTTACCGAAACATCTTAGTAGCGAGGCTCTTAATACTGTATTGAAGTTATTTAATAAGGTGTGGGAACAAGGGAAAATTCCCTTGTTGGGAAAAAGAGTTGGAAAATGCCTGTTATTATTCCACTTAGAAAGCCGGGGAAAGATCCTACTATGGCTTCTAATTATAGGCCAATTGCTTTGTCATCTCATCTAGGTAAGGTAATGGAGAGAATGACTTTTTATGTTGAGTCTAGGAATTTGATAACGCCGTTCCAAAGCGGCTTCAGGAAAGGAAGGTCAATTATGGACCCAGTTATTAAATTGGAGAGTGATATAAGGAAGGCCCAAGTGTGTAAAGAAGTAGTTGCTGCTATATTTTTTGATATGGAAAAAGCGTATGATATGCTTTGGAAGGATGGTGTGTTAATTACAATCCGAAGGCTTGGAATAGACGGGAAAATGTATTATTGGATTAAGGACTTTTTAAGCAATAGACAAATTCAGGTGAGGATAAACAGTAGCTTCTCTGATTGCGTATTTGTGGAAAATGGTGTACCCCAAGGAAGTGTTATTTCACCAATTCTGTTCTCTATTATGATAAATGATATATATGATACACTTGATTATAGTATAGGCAAATCATTGTTTGCAGACGACGGCGCTCTCTGGAAAAGGGGTAAAAATGTTCAATTCATTGTTAAAAATTTGCAAAAAGCTATCGACTCTGTTGAAGAATGGGCTGGAAAATGGGGATTCAGGTTTCTGTTGAGAAAACCAAGGTAGTATTTTTCCCGTTTAAAAAAATTGAAGAAAGGTTTAAATTTCAATTGTATGGTAGAGATTTAGAAAGAGTAAATTGTATGAGATTTTTAGGTATGCATTTTGATTCTAAGCTTACCTGGCATAATCATATTGAAAAGGTAGTTGACAAATGTAAAAAAAAGTCATTAACATAATTAGGTGCTTGTGCAATAAGGAGTGGGGAGCAGATATGACTTCAATGAAAAGATTATATGTTGGATTAATTAGGTCTATTGTTGACTTCGGGTGCATGGCTTATGGGTCTGCTGCAAAGTCTGAATTAAAGAAGCTTGAGATTATTCAGGGTTTGGCCCTCAGGCAGACTGATCTCATGAAATGGCGTATGTATGACACGCCAATTCGTATTTCCATTTTTGGCGTGCTATCAACACGCATAATCGCTTTTCAGCGTGTTTATCAACGCCGTTGACTTAACGTTACATTACTGTATTATGTATATATAGATATATGACCTACCCCAACCCCGTCCCTAAACCTACCCGTCACTGGGGTTAATACCATTTATGAGTGTTCTCCTACCATCCTAGGAAAAGAAATATCGCTCCACAGATGTAGATATAGATTTTGCTTCGTTTCGCTCGGACATTTAACGGCGTACACATACACGCGGAATCACTCGGACATTTAATGGCGTAGACATACACGCAAAAGATTTCGGCGTGGACATACACGCGGATAGCTCAAAATGCGTATAGATAACATGCCACTTGACTTGAAAGTGGCGTGTATGTTTACGCGAAGTCATGATGTCATGTTGCCTCAGGATATGTTCAGGAGCAATGAGAACCTCCCCTATATCAGCGCTTCAGGTTGAAGTAGGTGAAATGCCATTTGAGTTGAGGCGACTGCAAATGTCATTGTCATATTATGTTCATTTAAAGGGGCATATGGAAGACCATCCAACTAAAAGTGTCCTCATTTCAACATGGGAGCAGGCAAAAAGTAAAAGAGAGTCGTTTAGTGCAAGTATACATGAAAAGGGAAAAGAAGCGGCTGTAGAAAAGTTTGAATTTAGTCCATCTGTAGTCTCTCCACCACACCCACCGTGGATGAGAATGCTTCCAGACGTTGATATAACTTTGCATGAAAAGATTAAAAATTATAAGGGGGATAGTGGACAAATGGCTATGAGGTATGTGGATAACTATTATGGGTATGTGCAAATCTTTACTGATGGGTCAAAGCAACCAGAAACAGGGAAAGTGGCAATTGCATATGTGATACCAGAGTTTGATATTAAGTTTTCTGCAAGAGTTTCGGATCATTTGTCAGTGTACTCAGCAGAGCTGATAGCAATTGTGATGCGTTGCAGTGGGTAGAACAAATTAAACCACTGAGAGTAGTTGTATGTTCAGATTCGTTGTCAGCCTTAGAAAATTTTAAATTAGGTAATTCGAGTGAGAGGCATGATATTGTGTGTGAGATATTGACTTTGCTTCATAGTATTCAAAATGGGGGGACGCATGTTAAGGTTGTTTGGGTTCCGGCCCATGTAGGTATGGTTGGTAATGAGTTGGCAGACAAGTTTGCTAAACAGGCTTTGAAAGCGACAAATGTGTCTATTCTATGTAAAATATCAAAATCAGAAGCTAAGTCAATGATTAAAAAACTAAAAAAACTATGGAGTCTGGTTATAAGATGTCGAAGAGAAGAGGAAATTTTTACAAGAATGAGATTAGGGCACACTGGACTAAACAAAACATTACAGCTAATAGGAAAACATAAGTCAGGTAATTGCGAGATTTGTAATGTGCCAGAAACAGTGGAACATGTCTTTATGATGTGTAAGAAATTTAATAGAGAAAGGGTTGTAATTAAAAGGAAAATAGAGGGCAGTGGGGAAAGGTTTATCTTTAGAGATATTTTGTCTAACTAAAAGTGGCTTCCGATCATAGAGTAATAAAATATATGTTTTAATTTTTAAAGAACACTGGAATCATTGACAGAGTGTATTTTTATTTTATTTATTTTTTTAATGTAAGCCATAGTGATCATAGAGCACAATTTATTTGGAGGGTGGCGGTAGTGCGCTAAGTTAGTCCGCATCCGCCGTTAAGCAGCCAAAGAAGAAGAAGAAGAAGGGACTGAGATCATAGATATCCATAATAAAGGCTAGTGCTGCGTTCCAAACCGCATACTTCCCTACTATTTAGTATGGGAAAAAGAGTTGGCGAGCGAAAAAGTATGTATGAATCCAAAAGAGTAGGCGAGAATTACCTGGGTGACGTACTAATTATCGCGAGATTCGGACTTAAGTGCGTTCGAATATGCCTACTTTTCTACTATATAGTAGGCGAAAACAGTGCGTGAAGGAAGCAGTACGTTTGAAAGATCAGTATTCATAAAAGAGTAGGGGAGAAGTTCCCGGATGGCTTACTGCTTCCGGCCCGATTTTTGAGTGCTTAACCGATGGATACTCTTCTATCCCAGGAGGCCACGCGAGAGTATACGGCATTATTAAACATCACGGAGATCAGCGACGCCGGGGTTTTCAAATGTGAGTAAACACGGTTCCTTATGTGTTAAACTACTAGAGTAGACGTTTTAACTGTTGAAAGTGTAAAGTAGTTAGACAGTATAGTATAGTTGTGATTTTGCTGTAAAAACATGTTTTGTATAGCTAGCTAACAGGGGAGCTCTAAGCACACGTAACGTTAACGTCTCTAAAGTGGATTTACATAACCATCTACATCTTAAACACGCTTATTTAAAATGTCTATTTACATCTGAAAGGAAAATATTGTAAGTATTGACATATTGCAGATGAGCACATCACAACATGAAAAAGACATCTGAGTGATGTATGTGTGGCATTATTATAGGATAACGTTAATTCACTGTTGTCAACACTGTTGACATTAGT